TCGTCTTGGGCAGGTGGAGTGGCCTCCAAATTCAGGCCTGGCCAGGTGCACTCAGTTGCCTCCTCCTTTTAAGAGCTTGTTCTGAGGGTTGAGGACTTCCCAGGGGCTCAGATGGGGGCTTCCCTGCCCTCCCCAACCACAGCATGGAGATGGGGATGCTGCAGTGCAGGATGGCTCTCCTTCTGAGCACCCACTCCCATCATCACTCAGTCTATTTCCATCACTTGGGACAGATGGCAGGAAGCAGGGGTGGGCGTTGCATCATGTAGCCCAGGGATTCAGGACGGGGAGGCTCTAGCGAATCTCACTTCTCCCTTGGGCACTAGTGGATGTGGAAGAGGCAGCTGGCCTTGTGAGGGGGGTCAGATCTGTCACACATCCCCAAGAGTCTGCACGCAGAGGGACAGTAATGGCACCCCATCAGGGCATGGCCAGCGAGGATGGCAAGGGCCACCGTGGGACAAGCTGGGCAGTCTCAGCTGTGCTGTGGGTGGTACACCTTACCCAGGGCACTGCCCTCCAGTAATGAGGGGTCATGTCCACCTAGGAGCGTGTCCATCTTGCTGTCTATCCTTCTCTATTCAGTAATCAGAAAATGACAACATTGAGCTCTGGCCATTCATCAAGTCTGTGCACCAGGGACAAGGCTCGGGCGGGAGGAGGGGTGCATTTGTCTAACAGATCAGTAGGAAGAGGCTGTGCTGCCAACCCAAATGCACATGGTTCAAACCCACCAGCTGCTTTGCTGGAGAAGGATGGGCAGTCTAATCCTATGTGACTTACTGCCTTTGAAAACCCACTGAAGGGTCAGCTATGAGTCAGTTCTGACAACACATAACAATAACAACATGACACCAGGAGCTAAACGAACCAGCTGAAGATGCCCAGCTAATGCTCAGTGGGGTCGGGACAGACCCATCTGCCTGGTGCAGAATCAAAGCTAATCACCAGAAAGCAGAGCTGTGTGGCTTCCCCAGCCACTGACCTCTTCTAATCAGAGCCCCTCCACACCACATGTTGGGGATCAGGGACTGTGACTTGCATGTGGAGTGTAATTTAAGGGAGGCCTTGCACATGACACTTCTGCTGGTAGCATCCCCCCCAGCCCTGATTGCCTTAGATCTCTGCTTTACAGCCCCTGCCATGTCAGAGACAGGCCCTGAGGTCAGGTGAGCTCCTGGAAGAGGCTGCAAGCCTATCACAGACCCAAATGCAGAGACTGAGGCCCCGAGAGCAGACCCTGCTTAGATTAGGAGTCAGCAGGGCCGAGCTGGGCTTCCTGGAGGCCAGTTCCCCCAGGGTGCCCAGTGCTGGAAGGGTCTGCGCAACACAGTAGCAAAAGCAGTAGAAAGGACTCAGGTCTGCTCCGAAGTCTTTCCATTACCTACATGGGGGAGTGTGGGATGGGGGTCTGAGATGGAGGCCAGGTCAGTGAAGACAGCTATGGCCCTGGGGTGGAGCCCACCTAGAAGGGCAGGAGGTCAGAGACCCAAATCAGCAGGTCAGAGGGTGGGGGCTGCTGGGTCAGAGGGGTTCTGAGGTCTGGGACATCCCTTAGGAGCTCTTTCCCTGCCTTCCTCTGTCCAGGCATCTCCTCCCTGACTCCTGCACTTCCAGCCCCCGTGGTTCTAGCTCATCACGTAGCTGCACTGTGGCACGCTTGGCCTTGGGCAGATCACAGCTGACAGATGCACCTGTTCAAAGGGAATATCAGTTAGGGGGCTGGCGCTCATGGGGAAGACTCTAGTCACTCGCCGGGCTCCTGCTTTCCCTGCCTGAGCTCAGCAGCCAGGAGGGTGAACTGTCAACCCCTCTCCCTTATCACTCTCTGCCTTGGAAACTCAGAGGCCTTGTAAGCTGCTCCTGCCTGTCTCAGTGACAGCAATGGGCTCCAAGTTTCAGGCCTGAGTCAGAGAAGCAGCTCTTCATCCTTGTGCAAGATTCTAATAAGAGAAGAAGCCCTGAATCCAAGACACTGTTATATTTCCCTTTGCAGCTCTAGATCCTGCAGCTCAAAGAGGGGTTATAGACAATACAGGGTATGTGGAGCTTGTGTGTGCCCCTTTGTGGGTTCAGAAGCTGCAAGCCTGTGGGAGCCTAGCTGTGAGGGGTGCTCCTTGACTGCCTGCTTGAGGGCATTGTCCCTCCCCTCTAGCTTCCTACAGCATCTGGTCCTGGGCCTATGAGCTTTGGTGAGAGACAGGGCAGGGCTCAAATTACAGTTGCAGTCTAGAGCAGGGCTCAGTTTCCTCATTTGCAAAGTGGGGCCATACCAGGCACTATCTCATGAGGGCCTTCAGGAGCTCTGGTTGTTTAGTGATAAAGAATTGCACTAATGCAAAGGTACGTGGATCGAATCCACCAGCTGCTCCATGGGAGAAAGATGAGCAATCTCTCCTGTAATTTACCCCTTCTGAAAACCTGCTGAAGGGTCAGCTGTGGGTTCTAACTTGATTGTACACAACAAAAAGACTGAGGACCTAATATAAGGGTGCAAAGGGAGACCCAGCCCAGAGTCTGGTATGGGATTCCTCGTAGAACTGCTTCTCCCTTAGACCGTACCTCAAGGGCAGAGGCAGGGTCACTTCCCGTTTCACCTCAGTCTTGAGCCCCAGTTCAGTGTAGAAATCTCCAGCAGATTCATAACTGGGCAGGAAGAAGGACCCCTACGAGGTGCTGGATAAAGGGGGTCCTGGACGGTGGTGATACTGCACCCCAGGATGAGAGGGGCCCAGAGCCCAGAGCCTCAGGCACTCAGGCAGAGCCAAAGCTGTTGTTATTAATCTCTCCTGAGACTTCCGAGCTCACCCCCCCTTGCTTATTGTCCGGGGACCCCAGCAGGACAGCCTAACACTTAGCTTGCTCACTGTCTGGGCCTCAATGTCTTTAGAATGGGAACCCAGTGCCTTATGCACCCAGAATGCTAGTGACTGGCCAGGAATTGTGTAGAAAAGGTGAGGGGCTCACCACCATGAGTCATTAATGGGGTGGTCACTGACCATGTCACCTGGGGACGTCCCAAATGGGATCCTGCTGTTCGATGACTACACTGCATGCTGCCATGCAAGAGGAAGGCTACTTTCACAAAGCCCAGCTGACCTTGGTGAGGGACACAGCAGTGGTGTCCCATGAGGACCTGTGTCCCTGCCTGGCCTGCAGGACATGTGGACCATGTTTCTGCCTCTGGTCAGGCTAGTCACAGAAAGGCCACTGTCAGGGATCAGGCCTATCTGGATCCACTGCGGAGGGCAGTGTGGGTCATGACGGCTGAGGAAGGTCCAGATGCACCTACAGAACCTGAGCCATCACCCTGCCCACCCAGAAGAGCAGGCGTGCCAAAGCCAGCAGAGGACAGGAAAGGGAGGGAGGACGGCCATTCTGTCTGGTGGACATTTGTACAAAAGCTCCCTGCCTTTACATACACATGAGTACAGATTAGTGTGGGCATGCTCACTGCCTGTGTGAACATGTGTCTGAGTGTGAGTATGATGTGCCCCAAGTCTGTGGGGCTGGGGTGAGGCCCAGAGCTCCCCTCAAGCTCTGTCCTGTATGCCTGCCTGCCTGCCTGGTGGCTGCTGGGAGGGCAAAAGGTAATCAGAGAGAAAGCACCTTTCCAACGTGCTCTGTCGTTGTGTCCCTAGGACTATGGAGCTGTCTCCTTGGTCAGTCCTGGCACATCTGGGAGATTGTGCAGGCAGAGGGAGTGGGCCAGGCCCTCCAGCAGACTCTCTGGTGCCCTGAATGCAACTTTCCCTGCCCTGGGCTGCTCATCCTCCCTGGTGGGTGAAGAAGAGGTAGGGACCCATTTCTCTCAGGAGAGACTGCAAGATGCAAGCCTAATGTCCATACTTCCTCTATTCTATTCACCATCCGTTCTGTCCCAAGTCATGGGGACTCTGCATATGTGGAGTAGAACCTCTCTGTTGTAGGGTGTCCACCTGCTGTGAACTGTTTGAAGTAACTTGACTGGACTTTCTTCTGCAGCACCAGACGGGTTCAGATCAGCCACCTAGATCACTTAGGACTCCCCTTGCTCACAGACAGACCTGGTTTGGCTGGGGCCCCTGTGCCCCTCCTTCCTGTCCCCCTTGCCTCCTGCACATGCTAGCTGGAGCTCCTTCTGGAGTGCTGATTCTTCCAACAGCCTCACAGAGCCAAGAGACAGATGGAGCCCAGGACCCTGATGCCCATAGGGTGCCCATGCCAGCCCTCTATTGCTTCCCTCTCAAGACTTCTGCAGGGGGGAGAGATGCAGCCAGCCGTGTTTCACCAGCCTACTGTTCTGCTTGAGCAACCAGACCCAATTCTGTGGTTCTCTTGCTTCCAAAACAAGTCTGTCCCAAGCATGCAGGAAGCACACAGGACCTCAGGACAGATTTAACCCTCTCCTGGAGGACAGCTGCGTGGCCTCTGCTTTTTAGTTCTCCTTTGATTATTCTTTGTATCCTTCCTACCCCTCCACTGCCACTATTTCTTGAACTTGAACTCTATGCCAGGAGATTTCTTTACATTCTCTCTCTCCAACCTTTCAACAACCCCAGCAAAAAGAGACTATTTGCTTGTGGAAAGTCTCTGGGTACTTGCGGAAGTGGACATTCATGAATTACTTGAATTACTCATTAAATGATGCCTTCAATGCCAGTCTTTAAGCATAAGCTACCCCACCCCAACACTCATGGCTCCCCCCAACTCTAAGGGCTGGAAGGCCATGCTCTGAGTCAGTTGCCCTGTTGTCCACCTCAGAGATGTGACTGAACAGGACCAGCCATGCAAGTGACCTCAACTGTCCCTCTTCCCAGTGTCTGCTCCATAAACAATTGAAGTCCCTCCCTTCGCAAGGAGGTCCTGGAGCCCAGCCCTCAAACAGGACACTCAACACCCCCTCTCAACAGATCTAAGGGGACAGAAGGGGATGGGGCTCAAGGCTCCACAAGCCCCTTGGGTCCAGTGCAAACTCTTCACATTCCATTCTCCACCAGGTGAACCCCACCAGAGCCTACCTTGGTCCGCTGCATCCTGGGTGCTGAGAGAAACTGTTGCCAGCCTGTCCCCTCGGCAGTCTGCAGAGAACAGGACTGCCGGCTGGCAGCTGCTTCATGTTTGCTTGGACCCAGACGTAATTGTCACTGGCAGCTTCTCGCCCACCCCCTGCCCACCCCTCCCTCCTTGCCTGCTTTAAACTGCTCCACCCCCACCCTTCCTCTGTGCCTCCTACCCACTGTTCTCTGCCTCGCCTCATTCCACCTCCTTCCCTCACCTTTCCCCCTCATATCCCTCCCCCTTTCTCTTCTCCATCACTCTCTCCCTCCTCTCTCCCTCTCCCTGTCTCCTCTCCTCTCTCTCACACATGCACTCACAGAGGCTCGCACACACACTCCCATGTGTACACGCACATATCAGCCTGTCAAAGCCCTGCTGTCAGATTCTTCTGGTCTTTCTCCTATCATAATTCATTCTCTCTCTCTCTCCCCCCGCCACACACACACACACACACACACACACTACTCCTCTCTCCACTTTATTCCCCCCAGGAGGCTGTAGGGGTTCCAGAGGACATGTCTGTGCCCCAACATGTGTGAACAGGGGCCTCAGGTCAGCTTGGAGGGCCCATTAGTGACATTTTACAGAACAAGCCATGCTCCTTAGCCCTCATCTACCTTACCAGCCCTTTAATAAAGACGTGGAGGCTAAACAACTGTTCCTGCCAGATAACCTCAGCCAGAGGGACCCTGAGGACAGGTGGAAGCCCCCAAGGTCCAGACAGACAGCTGAACTCAGATACACAGGAAAGTCAACCTCCTGCCCACCCACTTCTGGTGTCTGGAGCATCCTCCCTATGAAGACCTTGTTCTGTGTGTGTGACTGGTTCCCTAGTGACCTTGTGCATGCCGCAGCCATCAGGGGCCACATCATACTTGTGATATGCAGGTCTTCCAAGAGCCTTCATGTTCTATGCCTCTACCCCAGGTTCAGGACTACACTGGGCCCTGGTGAGAGACCACCTGCAGAGGGCAGTGGAGAGGCTACAGGATTCTTTCATCCCAAAGGGGAAGCTGTTTGAAGATTAGCACAGCCCCCAGGGAAACCACCCAGGAGCCAGGTGCCAGGAGCCCTGCAACCTTCCACAAGTTTCCCTTTGCAGTGGCCCGTCTGTGCCAGTGGTTCCCATGGAAACAGAGCTCTGAGACACCCCTCCCCCCCCTGCTGTATGCACAAGAGCATACAGGCACTCATGGCCATCTCTCTTTCTCTCTCTCTAGCCAATTGCTCCAACTTTCAGAGTGTTGGGGGAGGGCGAGGGGGTGATGGTCTGGAGTTGTGTATCTGCTGAAGCAGAGGGGGGACATGCAGCCCAGGAGTTTGGCACAGCGGGACATTCAGGACAGGAACCCTGAACTGTACCCTGAGAAGGCCCTCCTGTGGAGAGAGGAGACAAAAGTCCTTAGAGACCAAACTCCTTAGAACCCACTGACCCTGGGGAGAAAGCAGGCAATCTCAAGGAGGGGGCATCCCCCACCTTTGTCTTCCTGCAGCTAGGACAGACAACCTCCCAGAGCTGGGCCTTGTTAATCACTGCGACTGTCTCCGTGCCCTTGGGAGAACGTTGTCTACAGACAATGCTGAAGGACTTTGAAAGTCAAACCCACAAAAGTTCAAGGATTCTCTTAGGATCGTGGGTTTAAAAGTGACTGAGCTAGTGCACAAAGCCTGTTCCTTTCACTCTGATTCCAATGCAGGTCTCAGACCCCCAGCTTGAAAGCATTCCTGATAACGAAGCATACTTGGCAAAGACATCACGTTTGGTAAAGTAGAAGGTGAGTGAGGACAACAAGGGAAGGCCCTCATGCCAACAACCACCTTGCCACAGCAGCTGTGGCAGTGAGCTCACACAGTGACTGGGGTGGGGCACAGGAGCAGACAGCATCCCTATGGGGTAAATCAGGCTCCCATGAGTCAGAACCCAGTCCGAAGCACCTAACAACAAACAATAAAGACAGCGTCCTCATCATGAGTCTGGGGACTCTTGAAGGGGTGGGACCAGAATAAGCCACCCTCTGCAGAGACTCACGTGGCCCAGCACTTGGCATACTCTGAGATTCCGCTGTTAAAAGATTCCTTCTTTGGCGTTAAAATGCCGGAGCAAAAAAAAAAAAAAATGCCGGAGCAAAAAAAAAAAAAAATGCCGGAGCAAAGCAGGCTCAGGACCAGCTCCCTCCTGCCCCAGGTCCAGGACAGTTGCCACCCAGGTGTATGTGTCCTGCTGCACTCCTGCCCACGCTTCCCTGCCCCATCCATGCCCTTGTCCTCTTTGACTGCCCTGACAGGGCACTCACAGCTGGCTCTTCATGTGTCAGGGGTGGGAAGGACCTGCAATGTGGACACGTGCACATGGGCAAATTTTCTCAGGAGAAGCTCAGATTTTCCGAAGAGGACCTTGCACAGTGTCAAAACCAAAAACGTTTAAGAGTGCCTCCATGGGAAGCTGATCTTGCAGCCACGGGCACTTTGACTTGATGCTTTTCAGCAGTGGTTTTCTCCCTATAGGCTCAGGGGGAGGCAGCAGAGGAAGGACAGAGCGGAAGTGGGAGAGAAAGAGCCGCTTCAAGCCTGGACACAGGTTGTGTTTCCTTTTTGGGATGTCTGAGTGCACGGCTAGGCCAGGCAGGGCAAGTGGTGTAACCTGGATTGTTAGTTCCTGGACTGTTGGCTTCTAACCAAAAGGCTGGAAGTTTGAGACTATTTAGAGGAAAGGCCTGGAAATTAGCTTTTTAAAATGAGCCATTGCAAACCCTAAGGAGCACAGCTTTGTTCTGACATGCTCGAGGGTGCCATTAGCTGGAACTGGGTTTTATTGTCACGTATTTTTGTTTGCATGCAATCATTCAGGTCCATTGTGTTTAATATTATTACTTCTATCGCTCTTCTATCTTTCATCCCATCTTACCAAGTCTACCTTGACTCTTTCCTATACCTTCACCCCCTCACCTTCTTTCCCTTTCCCGGCCCCAATCTCCTTTTCTTCTTCCTTGTTAGAATATTTACACACATCTTGCTTCATTATCCTTCTATTTTTACAATAATGGCCTTATTCAGTATTTGTCCCTATGAGACTGAGTTAGTTCATTCAAATAATGCTCTCCAGTCTCTCACATGTTATACAGTATTTAATGAAATAGTTGTTCCTGAGTACTGCATAGTATTCCATTGTGTGAGTGTACTGCAATTTCTCAATCCATTAGTTTGTTGTGGTATTTGGGCTGTTCCCAAATTCTTGTTATTGTGAATAATGCTGCTATGAATGGAGGTATACAAATCTCCTTTTGTGTTTTAGTTCTGTTTTCCTTGGGGTATATTCCTAGCAGTGCAATAGGTGGGTCATACAGGATTTCTATGTTCAGCTTTTTGAGGAAATACCAAATTGCTTTCTAGAGTGGTTGCACATTTTACAATTCTACCAACAGAGCATGAGAGTTCCAATCTCTCCACATCTTCTCCAACATTTCTTGTTTGCTGTCCTTTTAAACTTCTCCACTGCTACTGGCATGAGATGGTTATCTCATTGTGGTTTTGATTTGCATCTCTCTTATTGCCAGTGATTTTGAGCATTACTTCCTGCGTCTGTTTGTCCATCTGAATGTCTTTCTCTGTAAAAAGTCTTCCCATGTCGTCTGCCCATTTTGTAATTGGATTATCAGTCTTTTTCTTGTGGATTCCCTGTAGGATTCTGCAAACTTTGGTTCTAAGACCTTTGTCTGAGATGTCGTTGGTAAATGTTTTTTCTTAGTCAGCAGGTTATCTTTTCATCCTACTAGGAAAAGTGTTTATATACACAGGAATTTGATTTTTTCTTTTTTTTCTATAATTATATTTTATTAATTTTCATAAACATTTACAGAGATTTTGGGTTTCCAGGAATTTGATTTTTAAGAAGGTCTTATTAACTGATTCCATCCTCTCCTGGTTGAACACAGAATTGCTGAGGTTGGTCTTTTGTTTGTTTGGGATTTCTTTACTGGCTCTTTTTTCACACATCCCCAGGCCCTTACTCTGGGTGTATCCTGACTCTGCTGAGCCCTAGCTGAAGGTCACTGAGAGAGAGAACGGGGCCAGCTCACTCTAACCAGATCGCAGGCTGTGAGGAAGGCTCCTCACACAGTCTTTGCCAAGCTCTGCCTTCACAGGAGCTCAAGAAACATCTGTTGTCCACAAGAAATCTCCCTCTAGACACCACAGCACTCAAAAAATGCCACACAACACTGACCCAGCACAGTTTGTGGTGCTGGGGAGCAACCTGATTTTTGTCTTCCACTGGCCATTCAAAGCTCTCCCTCAAGCAGCCTCGCTTGGCCGGGTGCTTCTTGGAGGGAAGGACAGAGATATCACATCCCATAGCAGTTCTGGCCCTCACTGGGCCCATGGCACCACTGGCACCTTTTCTCTGGGTCACAGTGCAGACCTGGTGGAGTCGGAACTGGAAGCTGGGGTTAGCCTCCAGCTGGAACTGGAGCTGCTCTACAGGCTTGATGAAGGGTTAATGCTACATATCCTCTCTGGCTGCCACGAGGTGTTTCCAGGGCCTGGTCATTGCTGGGAACCTCCTGCAATCTCCCTGCCCAGGCCATTCCATGGGGGCCTCAGGGAGCCAAGAAGTCCCCTGACACCCAGCAGGACCTCTACTTTCTATTGAGGTCTGCCTGCTCTATGGAAGACCCCAAGGAAGGAACCCAAGAGATTCCTGACATCTCTCACTCATGTACATACATGTATGCGTGTATGTGCACACGCACACACACAAACACAAACACACACACACACACACACACACACACACGAGTGTGTGGGCTACGGGAGTAAGGCTCCCACCATCAGCCCTCTCCTTAGCCCCACATCAGCCAGCCTGCCTCTCACCTGAGCCTTTGCAGGCACGGACATCAGGCCCCTGGATTCCTTAAACTTCAGGGAGCACAAGGAAGCCCCTCTTCTCATTTAATATGAAGGGAAGGTACCTTGGTCCTCTTCTTGGGCTCTGCTCACCTTCT